GGATTCCACCCGAAAAACCTATAAAATATTACTTCATAACACAAACTCTCTCCTGCCTCATCCCAGTTCAATATTTATAGGACTGGAAGGCTGTTTTTCATTAGCAGGGACTATTGTAAAGTATTTGATATGCAGGTGTTGGGAGTTTCTCTTCTGTTGCTGTTTGAGTGGCAGCCACTGAATCATTTTATGGGGACAGCTTATAAAACTTTTTACATTTTCAGAAGAGTTTTTTTTCCAGCAGGGAAGAAGGCGATCCTTGATTCTCTATATAAATCCCAAATAAACATTTTAGAGCATGAAGGCATAAAATCTTCTTTACATAACATACACTATTGATGACTAAAGTGTACACTGAACATAATATGCTGATATCATTACTTGAGTCATCTGCTGTAATTATTACAGTTATTCCAGTATTAATTTGCAACTTATTACACAAGAAGAATAATCAATTTTTGTTTGTATGTTTTTAAAAAGTAAAATGGCATCATAAAATGTTGGCATCAATTTGATTAATTGATCATTAATGATTGACTATGATGCACCCTAGCGCCTGTTATTTAAGCTCTAAATTGACTAATTTGTGAGAGTTGGTGATTCAATGTATTAAATGCCAGGCTTGGTGTAAATCAAGAATGAAAAACACAGGAAGCAACCAGTAAGTGTTATTCATCAAAAGATCAGCACCTTTTTGCCTTCATTGGGTTGGGAGCCACAGTACTTAATCCCAAAAAACTGTCTCCCTCTTTCTGGGCTGTTGACAGCTGGAAATGTCTAATTTGGCAAAATGTTGCTGTCAAATGCAGCCCGTCAGTGACCTCACCAAGATCGATGGCCGTGCCCAGGAGCAGTGGTCTGGACAGGAGTGTCTCACTGCTAGGACTCCACGTGCCATTAATGACAGCAGCCTGACTGCAGAGCACTGCGTCGATCAGGTTCTGCGACCTCAAGCGCTGCCCTTCCCACGATTTCACCCTGACATGACAACATGACAGCATTCCCACGGGACGCTGCAGATCCTCATGCTGCCCATGAAACAACAGCTTTCTTCCAAGAGAATGTCGCAGTTCTGCCCTGCTTGTCCTCAGTTGCCATACGTGAGCCCAGATGAGTATTTGTAGGATGACGTGTGGCCTTTAGGGCTCAGAGACCAGTGACCAGGCACACGTTCTGGCTGTAAATGAGGAATGGGACTGAGTCCCACAAGACAGCATCCGCAGCCTTGCGTGAAGTGTGCTTCACAGATGTAAATCTTGCTCCCAGCTGTGACCGTGTACACTATTAGCATTTGACGTCCACTGTAGACACCCTGTTGTTTGCAAGTGATAATCGGCATATGTCAGCGCACCTGCTACAAAACAAGCATGTGATTTTCCTGATACTGTACCTTTCTAGCACTGTTGCAGTTTTACATCTCATTTGATGGTTGGCATATATTATAATGTATTTTATTTCCATCCTGGAGAGTTCTGTGCAGAGTCGGCCTGTAGCCAATTCAGCTATATTTGACAGTGGGCAGATCTGTTCTCAGTTAAATCATTTAAGTCTGACCTCTTATGCCACCCTCTGAGGGAAGACAGGATAAAAAGAACAGAAGAGACTGTGAGAGAGCACACTTTCAACAAACCAAGAGACTAGAATCTTTCCTGATCTTCTGAACCCTAAAAAAAGACGGCACCTTAGACCTTCAGAGAGGAAATGTTTCATATCTGTTGGCAATACTGATTTCCTATCCACAGGCTAACATGTCCTTATTTAGTGATGCATTAATTAGGTTCCCAGTTTTGTAACATTTATTTATGATTTAGTTCTGAGTGGGTTCTTTTATTCCTTCTCTCTTTTTTTATGCGGCTTTTGTTCTTGAGTGACAGGAAGAGTTCTGTTTTTTCTGTGTCTGTGAAAGGCAGGACCTGTAACTGCAGGACTGTAAATAATTGTAAATGATTTGTTTGATGTGTATTTGTGATGTATTGTTATAGAGACCTGTAACTTTTAAGCTTGGCTCCTGGTAATTACTTTGTAACCACACTGTACCGCAGAACAAAAGAAAAGACCTTCCACATATTCCCTGACGACAGGGGGTGTATAATTGTTAATATTTATAAATTTGCTTGCAAAGCAAGCTCTTGTCAGGAACTTATATGGATAAGATTTTTACCTGCCTTTATTCAATTATTCATACTCTCTAACTCATTACATTGTTATTAAGCTAATTAAAGCTCAAGATATTTAAGGTGTTTAGTACCATGTACATTTTTACACTTTTTTTCAGTCCATTTTAATCAGGTCCTGCTAATTTTCAATGGACCCATGTTGGTAACAAAAGACTAATTATATTGCTTCTTTTCCCATTCATGTATTGTGTCATTGCTGTGCAGCTTGTGCAGTAGTACAGATTGTTTTGAATCTGATGTCATCATTGAATAGATTAAGAGTTTCTCCTGCTGGTATATTTTGACAGCTCTAAAATGGCTCAGAAGTAGTTTACAACCCGATGTCAAAATGACAGGGAATGGCTTGTTTATTTTGCTGTGCTGTATTTCAGGAGCATTAAAACAAAAGTACAGCAGGACCTTTTCTGATTTTACTGCAGTGCAAACAAGAAAAAAAAAAGCCCTTACTCTAAAAATCTATTTCCTTTGTTGTGACACAAAACAGCAGAATAAAGGATGAGATTACATCTTGGAATATAGTAAATGTCTGTGTGTGCGCGTGGCTTTAATGTGAGATGTTGCCTTCTGTGTGCAATATACTTAAGTAGCTTCTTAATTAAACAGTTATTACTTTCGTAATCTGTGTGAAATCAGTATTTGACCATTGGCTTTTTGTTTTAGTGTGTATTGCATGCTGAACAGTATTAATTTGTCAGACATTGTAAGGAGCTAATTAAAGTCAGACTATTTTTTAAAGCTCCAGGTTGTTTGATCCTACTTCTTTTTACCAATTCCAAACCCAAGATGGCACAATTCTTTCATGTCTGATTTCTTAGTTTTTTTTTCTCTTTTGCCCTGTAGTATTTCTCCTTAATGGATAGAAATTTGTCTTGACCAATATTTTTCAACAGTGATCTGTGCACTCAGTGGAGTCTTTTTGAACAAAATTAGTATAATAAGCTGTATTCTATTAGAGTAGCTTAACATGTCTTACTGAATATAGTGAGCTATGCATAAGTTTACCCATGGTAAGGTAAGGGCTGTTCTGTGTGAGTACTTGTGAAGGTTCCAGGAGATATTAAATGCTAATTAAATCTTGAAGGAATTGTTTGTGCCTGACATAGAAATGATGGAAACTCCAGTAAACAAGCTTTTGTACCCTATGGTGTAATATTGATATTATTTTTTGAAAAGAGTGTCGGTCTCCGAGCTCAATATTTACGGCAGGTTGATAGCAGACAAGAATGCTTTCTAGTATGAAGTATGCCCAGATTACTGAACTAGAAAGAGACGTACACATGAATATATGAATGCTGAGACGAAATCCCTCATTATTGTGTTTCCACGGCCTCTTTTCATCTTGCAAACCTTGTCTCAGTTTTCAATTTCTGATCTTTTTTGAACGATCTCTCATCATCATTAGCTGGCTCTCTGCTGTGAAATGGCACATTACTAGTCATTTTGCATTTTCCACCCTCAGCTCCTTTCTGCGTTCCCCAATGCAATTATGTTTATGAGAGTGTAACCTTCTTTCTTCTAATGGGGCGGGGACTGGGGT